CATGTAAAAGAAAACCAAACACAACAAAACACCCCAATTCTTAATGGCTTAAAAAAAACAGACATTTTATTACTCGCGATCCCGTGGGTTGGCTGAGCAGGGATCAGCTGGAACAGCAAGTCTGTTCCATGTGGTGTGGGCTGCACTTGCCTCAGGTGGCTGCAATTTGAGCTGGAGAATCCAAGACGGTGTCACAAGTCTGACCCCTCAGCTGGGATGACTCAGATGCTGGGATCTTTTTACTCTAGTGCTCAGCATCCTTCAGGGCTCCTCTATCCCTGGGGCCCTTCCAGCCGGCTAGCCCAGACTTCTCTCCTTGGTGGCTCACGGCTCCAAGAAAGTAAAAAAGAAAGTAGCAAGGCCTTTTGTGGCCCAATTCAGAAGCTGTACAATGTCACTGCCACTTCTGCCACTCTCTATAGGTTAAAGAAGGCGCAGCCTGCCCACATTCAAGGGGAGGGAAAATAGGGTGGAGAAGTGGCAAAGTCACATTTGCAAAAGGGCATGTGGGATGGCATGGATGGTCATGGCCGTCTTTGGAAACCATCCACCAGAATGAGCTTTTAGAAACGTAGACCATGCATTTCACCTCCCTTCTTAAAACCCATCAAGCCTTCCAGTAGCACTTAGAATAAAATCCAAAGTGCTTATCCTGACTGAACAGACTCCCTGTCTCCTGTGCCCCCTCTCATCACATGGGCCTTTTTGTTCCTCCCACAGCAAGCCCTTCCCCTTCTCCTTGGCCTTTCCAACGGCTGAGACACTCTCTGTCCTGACTTCCACTGTGTGCTCACCTTCTTATGGTCAACTCAAGTGCCACCTTTTGAAAGAGGCCTTCTCTGGCCACCCCATCTGCATCAGGCTCCTCTCACCCCCAGTTAGGCTTTCACCTCCCTCTGTTTATTTCCCTTAAAGCACAGCTCTGAAAATCTAATTGTCTTCATGGTAAAAAAAAAAAAAAAATGTTTGTTGACTGTTAAATAAATGAAGTTATCATATCTAATATCTGACTGAGTTCCAAAGTAGTTTCACCATCCACTCTATATGTTACCTTGTGCAAATTATTTAACTTGTTTTCTTCTGTAAAGTAAGGGCTATAATATCACTTACTTAATGGGATATTTTGAAATTTGTATTATTTTGGAATGGGACTTTATTCATGGAAAATCTCAGTAAACATTAGTTGGTTAAATTATAATGGGCACCCTGGCCAGTGTTGCTAAGTGGTTAGAGCATTAGCCTGCACCCTGAAGAGTCATGGGTTCAATTCCCAGTCAACCTGGGTTTCTGGTTTGATCCCTGGCCCCAGGGTGCATTCGGGAGGCAATCAATGGAGGTGTTTCTTTCAAATCGATGATTCTCTCCCCCTCACTTCCACTCTCCCTGAAAACCAATGGAAAAATATCCACATGTGAGAATAAACATTAACAACAACAAAAATTATAATGTGCTATAGACAAAGCTCATCTTTCATGATATCACAAAATATTTCTAAAAATTAAACATTTTTTTAGAAGGAGGAGTTGGTAAAAATAAAGTAAACATTTAATAGTCATATTGTAATTCCTTCAAGTCTTCAGGCAGTACTGAAGGGATGAAGGCTTAAGAGTCATCATCTCTTGCATGGCTGCTCATTGGTTGTACTCTAGTAGCTCACAATTCATATTTATCTCACTGTAGCATTTCCCAGGGTTTAGAATAAGTGGAAAATTTGGCTTATGTATCTTCCAAAAGTTTCTCTTAAAAACATACCAGATCTGGCCTTGGCCAGTGTGGCTCAGTTGCTTGGGCATTGCCCCATGCACCTAAAGGTTGCTGGCTCGATTCCCAGTCAAGGCACATGCCTGGGATGTGGGTTTGATCCCTAGTTGGGATGTGTGCCAGAAGCAGCTGACCAATGCTTCTCTCTTTCTCTCTCTCTCTCTCTCTCTCTCTCTCTCTCTCTCTCTCTCTCTTTACCTCTCTCTCCTTCCCTCCCTCCCTCTCTCTCATTCTCAAATCAATTAACATTTATGTATGCTAGCTCTGTGTAGAAAGCTGGCCATGTACTATCTTTTGTTCATTTCATAAGTATTTATTAAACACCTATTATGTATGTGTATATCACCCTGCCATGGTTACATACAACAGCAAAGACCATGAATAGCCCATAGATAAATCCTCACATTCATTTTTTTTAAAATGATTTTTAGGGAGAAAGGAAGGGAGAGAGACAGAGAGAGAGACAAGAGAGAGGGAGACATCAATCAGCTACCTCCTGCAGGCTCCCTACTGGGGGCTGAGCCCACAATCTGGGCATGTGCCCTGACTGGGAATGGAACCGGCAATCTTTCAGTGCATGGGACAATGCCCAACCAATGAGCCACACTGGCCAGGCAATCCTCACATTCTTGAGCCCACTCTCCCGGAGAGACATCACAGACATGGCCAGAGCTCAGGCCAGAGAGCAGTCAATGCCATAGCCAATTTACTGAGCAGATTCTACACTGTTTCCAAAAGATTTTCCATTTGTAGTGGTTTTCTATTTTTATTTAAATTCTGAAAGAACCCACATACATGACCTTTTAAATTTAAGAACTTCTATTTTTAAGATGTTCTAAAACATATTCCTAATTTGAAAGCTGACAGTATTGAAATAACAGCAAAAGAAAAGCAATAGATCCTTCCTGTTCTGTTTGTTCCAACTTTATCAATACCGTACATTTCTGAAACGACAGTGTAATTAGAAACTCTGAAACCTGTCTGTGACTCTTTTATCTACCTTGAGGTAGAACATTAGTGCGGATTTGGATTTTATTACTTTTTGTGAGTTTGTTCCCTTATTTTCTCAATAATGGTCCAATTCTCAGATATCTTAGGGTGTGCTCCAATCTGTTGCTGGTGTTTCCCTCTAAGTTCCCCCTTCTTGGCAAAGGCAGAGGATCATCAGCTATCTCTGTTCTTTCTGGGACTCAAGCACAGTGGGGCTTTTGGCTTAGAAACTGTCCTATCCGGAACCCCTGGGGTCCTGGGGCCCACACACTTGGCAACCAGCCAGGGATGCTTTCATGGTCTGGGCTGACCTTGGACTGGCTTCTAGGGCCCCGTAAGTAGTCCTCTGTAGCTTGAATCAGGCCAGCTCAAAGGCCTTGCGCTAGGCTGGTGGGTTTGTTCTGGGATAGCTGAAAGTCTTGAAACCCACTCTGGGAGAGCCCTTCCTTCTGGGGACTTCCTTTGATTGAATGAATGAAAATGGAGTAGGAAAATGACCCCTGGAGAAACTTCCTCTTATAAGAGCAAGTAGAGCCTGCTTGTGCTGGTTGGTTACATTGTTTGCCTCCCACCCTACCTGCCCAACCCTTGGACCCACTTTCTTTTTTGAAAATATATTTTATTGATTTTAGAGAGAGGAAGGGAGAGGGATAGAGAGATAGAAACATCGAATCGGCTGCCTTCTGCACAACCCCCGTTGAGGACTGAGCCCACAACGGCAAACTGAGTATGTGTGGCAACCAGAGCATGTGCCCTGACCGGGAATCGAACCGTGGCCTTCTGGTTCATGGGCCGATGCTCAACCATTGAGCCACACCAGTCGGGCCCTTGGACCCACTTTCTGCCCTCCCAGCCAATCTCTGTGTCCTGGACTAGGTTCCTAATTCCTGGGACCTCTGTCTTCCAGTTGGGTTTGGCCTCCGGGAGGCACTTCTAGGAGAATGGAGGGTGGGAGGAGAGAGAAGCCAGGGTATTTCTTGCCACTGCTTCTCTTCTACATGAGATGGCTCTGGTACTGGCAGCCTCCTCATCAGCTGCAGCTCCTATTTTGTGTCCCTTCTCCAGGACGCTAGTGCCCTTCCTTACTCGTACTATTTGAAGGCATGATTATCTCTTCCCACTGTTGCAAAGCTCTGGCTGATTCCCTAAACTCCATCCACACCCCTGTCAATGGTCCCTTCACAGAAAGCCTTTTAAGTTAAAATCTTTGCATGTGCCATCTATTTTCCTCCTGGGAAGGCTCTTGATTGATACAGTCATATCAACTTGTACTACTCCACCTGGAAAATCTGAAAACCTTTCCATTAAAAAGCAGCCGCCTCCTAGAAGGTGTTTGTATTCATCTTCAACACTCACAACCAATACAAAATCCAGAGCATGAGTCATAATTTGCTAGCGGAGGGCTCTTCCATGGCAGGCACACTGTTCTGAGCATCAAGGGGTCTTGCTGCCCCCCGCCCATCCCGCCGCTCTCCCTCAGCCCCCCGGCATATAGTAGGTGCTCAACAAATGTTCCCTACAAAGACAGCACCCTTGGGCTCCAAGAGCCTCAGCCTCAGCTCCCTTCTTCCTCTTCTCCTCCCCCACACCACCTGCTGAGCTGCTGGCACCTGTAGGATCTGTATCACCAGGCTAGCCAGCTGGATTTATTTCTTATTGTTCTTGACAGAGGCAGTTCATTCACGTGATTTTTTGCAGTATCCAGAAAGGGTGGGTACACTAAGACCTGTGATGAAAAGCTTGTGGAGGAATGCAGGCTTTGGTTTCACCCCCATATTGTTGCTATTCCTATATGAGAATTGTCCCCCCTCACGCAGACACCTCTCCCCGACTCCACACAAAAGCCTTGAAACATTTGTGAGAAATGAAATTACAGTCTATGCAATGGGACAGGATGAGATGACCATGAGCAGCCCCCGGGTGTGTTATACCTGAGCCTTTTCCAAAACACTGCAGAGGAATTAGTCCAGGCAGCCAGGAGGCAGGCTATTTTTTTTCAGAAACGTTTACATCTGGGTAGGCCTGATTTTTTTAATATTCTTGGTGGGAAGCACTTTGAACCATGAAGACACACTGAAAGGCAATTGCGATGGAGACTGCCTCTGCAGTGCATTTCTCTTGAGTTTTCTCCTCGGGCGCTTCAGCATCCACAGGGTGTCCTAGGAACGCTGCTATGGGTGGGAACCCAGGCACAGCAGTGTTAGGGGGCACTTGGGACGGGAGTCCTCCCCCAGGATTAAAAGCCGGAGATGGCTGCCCAAAGTAGGTGTGTGGGTCGGAGGTGGGTGGAGGGAAGGTTCTCAGGATGTGCAGGCCCCCGGCTCGCTCGCCTGTGCGGGGACCACGTGCAGAAGCGGCGCGTGGGGGCCTCTGGCGCGCAGCCGTGGTAGGTGCCTGCACCCGGACCCGGGAGTACCCTCGTGTGTCCGTGTGCGCTTCTGGGTGGGCGGAGGGCTCGGCTCCGTCTT